GAAAAGGAGGCGGCCCGAAGACGTGTGCCAGCTGCGTGCCCCCCCCTTCCCGGAAGGCTTGGAAAGAATCCTTGGGTCCTGGGCCCAGTTCAGCATAGGGATCAGAGAACCCCCTTCTGTTTCCGAAAGGGCGAGTTCTTTGCGCATCCAAATCGATGGGATTTGAAAAGGGATTCAGTTTGTGAGCCTTCTTTTTTTAAAAAAAAAACTAGGGATGCCGGTAAGTCTTTGGGTCTGAGTGGATTCCAAGTCATTGCAAAAAAAAACCGAGTCCGAGTCGAGTCACCGGTGCCATTTGAGTCCGACTTGACGGCAAGTCCGGAGGCTCGAATCCCCCATCCCCTCCATTGCTGACGGGGCACAACACAGGCATTAGAGACGGAACGACCACCTTGCAAAACCCTTCACTAGGTTTAGCCTATGACCGATTCCTGGGCTGCAGGTCAGGACCTGGCTTTTTGAGTTCCAGACTGCCTCTTATCTCCCATCAGGGAGATCGGAGATAAAAACAACGGAGTTTCTGGGCCTCAGCTCTCTGGCCAGAGGTGGGAAGGGTGAGCTTTTGAGGTGTGGGGGGGTGTATATCGAAGACCATCTGGCCACTCACAAATCAGACAAGGTTTATGATATTCCACCGAGTGATTGAGTGCTCCTTGCCTTGAGCCATGTGTTTGAATGATGCAGCTCTCACTGGGTAAACATTTCCTTCTCTTCCATTCCTTTGGTTCTTACATATCCAAGAGAGTTTCCTTTTACCTATAATGGACGGCTCTACTGTCAGGCAGAAGGAAGCTCCTGAAGAGGGTGGATGTTCTTGCTCTCCATGCTCAAAGCTAGCTTGCTGTCCTGCCAGACGTTGTCACATCACCAGCGTGAAAAGTACGATTCAACTGTGACCTTCTGTAGGTGGAAGTGGGGTTAAATGTCTTGGGTGGTCCCCAATAGGATACGTTTCTTCAGGGTTTCCACTTTGCCCAATGGACCGTTGCTGCTCTCCAAGGTGCTGAACCGTCCCTTCTATCCGCATGCCTGTGAACTCTCGTAAAGTGCCGACCGAAACCCTAAATGGATACAAAGCATCCTTGAAATCGGAGGCACCAGCCACCACTGTGTGTGCACGAGCCGTGGGGAGGGAGGGACAGAAAGAGACGTGGGCAGAGGACTGTGTTTGTACATACCCGGACACCAACCACCTTAGAAGGCAGGCCCGCAAATTCACAGTGGGTGCTCCTAAGATAATTTTTGCAGAGCAGACGGTGATAATAGGAGGTTATCCGAAAAGTAGGTCATGAGTGAAGCAGTGGCAGGATCAATGTTGGGGAAGGGACGGGGGAATGTGGGGAGAACACGGCTCAATATAAATTGACATCTGCAATCCTAGATGATTTCAGTAGACTTAGATGTGTCCTAGTTTCGCAGAAGATTAGGCCAAATTCTGTGGGACCGAGCAATAGAGAGAGAGAGAGGCAGGGAGGGAATAATCATATAATGAACAAATAATGCTTGATTTTTTTTTCAAGCTTTCCCCCTTTTCTTTCTACTTTTGGACTGAAAACCAGAGGACAAAAATTGCCTTATTACTGATTTGAGAAAGCCATGTTGGTAGCTTCTTTCTTTCTTTCTTTCTTTCTTTCTTTCTTTCTTTCTTTCTTTCTTTCTTTCTTTCTTTCTTTCCTTCCTTCCTTCCTTGCTTCCTTCCTTCCTTCCTCCCTTCCTTCCTTTTTCTCTCTCGCTTACTCGCTCGCATTTGACCAAGGAAAGATGCTTAAAATGGTTATCCAATCCATAGCGTGCACTTCATTGGGCATAAGTCTTAGAATCATAGAATTATCAAGTTGGAAGGGGCCTCTAAGGCTGTCAAATGCAACTTCCTGCTCAAGGCAAGAATCCAAAATAAAAGCAGATCTGCCAGGTGGTTGTCTAAATTGCTCCTCAATGCCTCCAGCCTTGGGGCATTCACCACCTCTTGAGGTCATGGGTTCCATGGCTGTACCCCTCTAACAGTTAAGAAGTTTTTCCTGATATTCCACCGAAATCTGGTTTCCTGTAACATCAGCCCATTGTTATGTGTTCTGCACTCTGGGGTAACATCTGCCCATTGTTATGTGTCCTGCACTCTGGGATGATTGATAATGTTGTTGAACTCACTGGGCTTCCTATAGAAGAGGGCCATTATAATAATGCAGGAAACGTGCATTCTTCATCCATCTACCCATTCACTTCTATCTGCGAGTACAAGATCCTGTTATTGCAAAGTAGCTAACCATATCTACTGCGGGTGGGCAAAACGGGGCCCTCCAGATGCTGTTCAATCACAACATTACAACTGCCAGCATTCCTCATCACTGGGTAGGAGTTGATGGAAGCTGCTATCAATGCAACATCTGGAGGGTTGCACGTTGCCTACCTCGGACACAAATATTTCTTGAAGATCTGCAGAGTAGCTCCAGATGAAACCATCCTTGTCTTCGCTCTCACTGTGGCCAGTTCACCGTCGGGTGTCGAGGTGCAGCATATCCCATCCACCGAGTGTAACACTCTATGAGACTTTCGTCTTGCCGTCACGCAAGCTGGAAGTCAGCCCATTGCAGCTAATAGGTCTCACTGTGGCCAGTTCACTGTCGGGTGTCAAGGTGCAGCATATCCCATCCACTGAGTGTAACACTCTATGAGCTGGAAGTCAGCCCATTGCAGCTAATAGGGCTTCTGGGTCTGCAGGGAGGTGCTGGATACCACCCTGCACCTGCCTGGATAATTGGATAGCTCAGATGTTGAGGTCTCTGGGTTGGGAGTTTGACTCTTCCACTGTGCCTGCCGGACAGAGGTTGGACTGGATGATCCATAGGATCCCTTCCAACTCTGCCATTCCAGGACGATTCCACGGGCGGAGAGGATTAGGCCCTGCATTGTCCCAGCAATGTTTACAGAAAGAGTCCCTTTAAACAAACAAAAAGGTCTCATTTAAACAATATGACAGAAATAAACCCTTATCCGTATGGCTTATAGTCTGTCTGGCCTCGCAATGGCATTTTGTGCATCCTAAGTTAAAAATTTATAATTATTACTTATATGCTAATTAGTCAAACGATAAAGAGAGACCCAGCCCTACCCCTCATGAGACTTGTGCCAAAGATGGCTCTTTTCCATGTTCGACAGAAACAGCCAGTCATCAGGAGAGATAATTAGACCTTTGGCCGTTTTAAGCAGATGCATCACTCTTGCCATCATTACCTCATCCCAGGTCTTGATATCCTGCATATTAAAAGGTTGAGAAGTTCTTCTCTCTTTTTGTTTAAGTTGTTTTGTGAGTTCCTTCCTGCGCCCATTAAAAATGTCCCGGTGAGTTATTGCTGTTTGAAAAGACAATCAGCCTGGGATTCACTTGGCATTGAAGGGCAGTGATTCAGCCCATCTTGGGTCCCTTTCAGATTGGGGGGGGGGCAAAATGCAGTCCCCCCCCATCTTGATGTTGCTGGACCACAAATCCCATTTGCTGGGAGCTTCGGTTTGACACCAGATGGCAACGCTTCCCCCGTCTCTGTTTTAAACCTCCGAAGCTGGTGCTAATGACTAGCGGAAGATATTTCGCCACCTGAAGCAAAGAGTTAGATTATAACTCTTTCATCGTCTGTTCAAACCTGCCGAATTTAGCAGTTTTGGTGCCGGGACTAAGATGAGGTCCTCCATCCCTCATGATGGCAGCTAGATAGTTTAGGGGCTACTGGACTGAGTGGCAAATACAGGCCTGTCCTTCAAGAAGGGGAAAGACTCGGTAACTCAGAAGGAACAGCCAAGACAAGATGAAATTCTCCAGCTAAGAGGTGTGGATGAAGTTCCATATTAGCTTTGAAGCTGCAGCAGCTACTTAACACAACACATCCCTGTGTGAGAACACACACACACCCTCTCTGGACAAAGGCACCAAAGCAGGGATTCAAGTCGGAGGAACTGGTTGGGAGGTTTCCTGTTTTCTGGGAATGTTTCCAAACTCACGTGGAAAAAAACAACCAACCACTTCAATGACCTTCAATGAACAGATAAGCCAAGGAAAGGACCGTGTGGTACCCTTTAATTACAACGAAGTTTATTGTGGGCTGTAACTAGGGCAAGAGTTTGCTCCAGGGTACCAGAATCTAGAGACAATCTTCGGATGAGTGTTAGGAAAATAAACGGCAACACCTCCCCGCCCGATTCTTTCCCTTTTCTGGAAAGCATAAGTTTGCTCTTTCTTCTGAATGGATGCCACGTTCTTCTCCTCCTTCCTCTGGAGGAGGGGGCATGCCTAGACCTCAAGGCAGCGTGAAATTATGCCACGGGCCCTCCGTGCCCAAATGGCTGCTTGTGGCTCGGCAGCCATCACGACCCCGACAGCAGGGCCATCCCATGGTTTCCAAAAAGGCCGTGTCCCTGGACTTCAAAGTGGGAGGCGTTGCCCTGCGGGCACCGTGATTTCATCCCTAAGTATATGTGGGAAAGCGGGCAGGGTTTGAAGGAAATGAATATAAAAGAAAAGAGGGAGTGTGTGGCGTGTGCTGAAGGAGAACCGCAAGGTTGATATAACCTTGTGAGCTTTTTCATTGCGTACGCCTGCGACTTCTCAGTGGTGGAACTGAAACGCACCTCGAAAACAAACCTTTGACTTGGGCAGATTTTGCTGGTACGGGAAGCCTGTGGCCGACTTTGATCCTGGA